CTGTTGGATTTAAGTTGTTCAAGTGGGCTTATTCCCCTTTAAGCAGACCGCCTTTCTATGCGATTCTCAAAAATCTAGGTAAGGTTCACGTATCATCCTGGGAATAAGATCTTAGAAAAAGAACTAATGGGATCACATTGTTTGTTATGTTGGATTTAAGTTGTTCAAGTGGGCTTATTCCCCTTTAAGCAGACCGCCTTTCTATGCGATTCTCAAAAATCTAGCTAAGGTTCACGTATCATCCTAGGAATAAGATCTAAGAAAAATAACTAATTGGATCACATTGGTTGTTCTGTTGGATTCAAGTTGTTAAGTTGGTTTATTCTCATTTAAAAAGACCGCCTTTCTATGCGATTCTCAAAAAGCTAAGGTTCACGTATCATCCTAGGGATAAGATCTAAGAAAAGTAACTAATTGGATCACATTGGTTGTTCAGTTGGATTCAAGATTTTAGTTGTTCGAGTAGGCTTATTCCCATTTAAACAGACCGCCTTTCTATGCGATTCTCAAAAATCTAGCTAAGGCTCACGTATCATCCTAGGGATAAGATTTAAGAAAAGCACCTAATTGGATCACATTGGTTGTTCTGTTGGATTCAAGACTTAAGTTGTTCGAGTTGGATTATTCCCATTTAAACAGACCGCCTTTCTATGCGATTCTCAAAAATCTAGCTAAGGTTCACGTTTCATCCTAGGCTTAAGATCTAAGAAAAATAACTAATTGGATCACATTGGTTATTCTGTTGGATTCAAGTTGGTTTATTCTCATTTAAGCAGACCGCCTTTCTATGCGATTCTTAAAAATCTAGGTAAGGTTCACGTATCATCCTGGGAATAAGATCTGCGGAAAAGAACTAATTGGATCACATTGTTTGTTTTGTTGGATTTAAGTTGTTCGAGTAGGCTTATTCCCATTTAAACAGACCGCCTTTCTATGCGATTCTCAAAAATCTAACTAAGGTTCACGTATCATCCTAGGAATAAGATCTAAGAAAAAGAACTAATTGGATCACATTGTTTGTTCTGTTGATAACATAATCTTTTTCTTACTGACTTGATCCAATTGCCTCTTGTAATCTCGCCAAATGTCAGAGGTCGTACCCCATTAAACACTGCCAGATGGTTGGCAACTGAATGCAGTTGAACTCGCTTGAAGATAGGCTCAAACAAACAAAAGTGCAGGAGCCTTGTTATCGGTCAGAAGCTGTAAGAATCGCTTGATTCACTGCACTTAACTGATACAAAAAAAAAATGCAAATTGTATAAATACATCTGCGAGTGCCCAGCGAAAGATTATGTCCGCGTGGAGGGAACATATCGATTATCATTTGCCATTCAAACAACGTGTGAACGTCGGCTGAGGTGATTCGATATTCAAAGGGGAAGCCTATGGAATGTCTGGTTATATCTACACCCAGTAATTTGCAAGTTTCAAGGGTATTCCGACTAGTAATCAAATTTACAGCAGCACTATCTGCTGCTTACTCAAAAGACTTCTATGTACAATATTTACTGGTTAGTTTAATGACAGAGTTATTACTCATTAAAGCTATAAAAAAAATACACTAAGAAACAAGTTGAAACCGGACTTTTAGGCAATTTATATGAACAACCCAACTTTGGAGCATCATAACTTTATAATGATCTCAAAAACACAGCCCCACACACTTCATGGTGGGCATAGGATAATTCCCAGTCGACACTTCGGTACCAGACTAACCACTATCTGATTGTGTGCTTCCTTGTAGTAGGTAAACTTGTTTAAGTTTACACTTTCGTCTTTTGTAATGAGTTTTAGCCAGGGACAGACGACGCAAAGAGCAAACCCAGACAAAGAGTCATTGTCACCTGCTAAGTTGAAAGCAAATAAGGCGATCACATCAAGGGGAACTCGATACGAGGGGCCTGGAGTAGAAGCGGTGCAGTTAACGACGATTCGGCCTTATCAGTGGCGCATTTCAACTGGTTAACTTGTCTTACCTGCAATTCCCCGCCAAGTTCATCACTCCGGCGGCCGAGTAAACAGACTTATTCACCAATATTAGTAACCTGTCCCCCGTCTTTGGTCCGCCCGCCGGTTGAATGCGTTTTTGCGTATCTAATAATAACATTTAACCGAGCGAGACCCTCCAATGTGTTGGAGCCTCGCCTTCTGGGGTACCGGGGATTTGCATTTGCCGCATTTCCTTGTTTCGGTGCCTGCTAATTGAAGCAGGCCAAAGACATTTGCTCAAGGAGAATGTAAACATTTGGAAGGCAAATTTATGGCCGCAGCTGTATGCAAAGATTATGGGTTTTAGATATAGGGAGATGAACTCCATAGACATGTACTCGTAGTGCTTCTCACAAAGACAGAGGTTTGTGATCCTGAACAAATATAGCATTTTATATAAAACTAATTAAAAAATCAAAAGTTATCCAAGGTAGCCAAGGAAAACTAAAACTGAACTAAAAAATATGTTATAAATATGAATTAAAAGGAGAACATCTTGCACCTTCCCTATTGCTTGAAGTGCATTTACTTATATAGCTTGAAGCAAATAATAAATACATACAGAAAATTTAAAAACTTGGACCTAAGGTAATTGACCGATAAACAGTTTTGTTATTTTGTTAATTAAAATGTTTATATCATATTGAGCGACATTTCTTTGTGGTGGATTCTAAAACAAATGCGAAATAGAAAATGTTAATCCTTTTCGCATTCTGTTTCGCCAGTTTTGTGTCAATTAAATTCCCATACGAATAAATTGAGTCATTCCGCTGACTTTGATTCGTAATTGGGCTAGCCGTTCAATGACTTTGAAGTGAGTAACCCTCGATCAAATATTAATGAAGTGCGTTTCATCCGCTGTTACAGAAACACATGCCGGTGGCCATCAAGTGCATCACGAAGAAGGGACTACTGAAGACGCAGAATCTGCTCGGCAAGGAGATCAAGATCCTGAAGGAGCTCACCGAGCTGCACCATGAGAATGTGGTGGCTCTGCTGGACTGCAAGGAGTCCCAGGATTGCGTCAGCCTGGTCATGGAGGTGAGTTTGGTCCGAAACACCATTAAAATATCCGCATAGCGAAGCGAGAAATTCATAAATATTAAATGCTTTTATGGCTAAAACGTGTGTGATTCACTCCACATGGTATCGTATAGGGGAATTGCAAAGTGCACGTCGACCAGTTCCACGTCATGTCCCTCCCCCAAATCACAAACCACCCACCGCCCACCACCCCCTTTAGACCTCCTTTTCTTGGCCTGAATGCTACGCCATTAATTGCGGAAGTTGCGAAATGAATTCGTAAACAGAAATAAAGTGAGAATAGAATGGTAAAAGCGATTTGCGTCGATTTTCTGCTGCTTAAAAATACACTCGATGGAAATGTTTATACTTTAAATTCATAGCTTAGGGAATAAAGTTAAAATTATACTGGGAGTCTTAAAACAAGGTTAATTAGACGAAGCAGATTTATAGAGCCAAAACCCTGTGGAATTATAAGTATTTTCAGTGGTTTAATAAACAGGCAGTTTTTTTTTTTATATTTTGTTTTACTGATACTTTGTTTTGTTGTTTTGCGATTTCTGAATGTTTAATACGCAGTTTCTTAACGTTAATTGAAGGCAAAAGCACATTGGATACCTACATCTGACCTCAAATTTGTTCAACTCAATTTGAGTTACAGGTGTTCGCATGCTTTTAGCGCGCACTGTTTATAAACAATCTATTATCTTGAAATTAGGTCAAATGCCCGCGGCACGAGAATTAGCTTCCTTTTGGCGAGCATTGTCACTGATAAGATTGGATAGGGTTGTTTTCCACAAAATACCCTAGCTCTTAAAAGACCAGGAGAAGACCTGGAATTAGATTGGTTTATTAAATTAAATAAAAATGTTTACAATGATAAAATATTAGTAATGTGCTGGGTATATAATGGGTTACATCAGTATCTTTTATTCAGATTTTGTTTTAAAAATGACCAATTTAATAATCTCATTAATTTTGATGTAGTTTTTAAGTTTGCATATTTTCAGAACTCAAGCTAGCCTGTTTCCAAAATAGTTCTAATCGAAACGAAAACTTTGGGCTTTTGTTTTGTTGCGAGTTTGCCTTAAAACGCCACATTGTTGTGGCCACACGATTGCATGTCATCATCGTAGGTGGAGCACAATCGAGCTGGCGGGGTGTACAAGCGATAGGAAGGGAGTGTTTTGTTTCATCTGCTGTGTATAGTAGTAGTTGGTACACATTCGATCGCCTGACTTTGGCCTCATTCGCCTTGTTTGCTTTGTATTCTAATGTGTTTGCCACCAGAGAGGCAGAGGGAGGGCGCTCCACGGATTATTGTAATCAGTTCGTTTTCGTGTGGCTGGTGAATATTTATTGGTTCCGCGGCCACGTGTTATTCTAAGGCGCCTTTCCCACCATTTTGGCTACTATTCGTTCATCAGATTTGTTTATTTATCTTGCCAATATATTATGATGTGTTTATTTGGTGCTTAATTTCGTTGTCTGGAGATAGGAATGTGATATGAAGAGAGGGTGGATGGGTGGATAATCAATGCTATCAGGTGTTTTATTTCAGGGAGCTTTCGCTCCCGTATTGTTTCATAATTTATCACTCAAAACACGAGTTTCCTTTTTTTTACTATGTACAATAATTACTTTTATTGTATTTTGGCAAAAGTCTAAAGCTAGCAACTAGTGTATCTAGGGGTTACATTAATTTAAGTGTTGCGATGGAAATTGATTTTGCATCTAAAACTAGAACAGTGCCAGGAGTTGTGGTGCGGGATCCCATTTACCGAGTTCCCCTAAAGAACAGGACGCTAACCTAAGCTAAGCTTAACGTACTCCGACTAACAACTAGAATCTAACAGCGGATTCGGGGCAGTTGTTGTGCGGGAAAGAAAGTAGGAGAGAATATAGTTAGGCTAGATACCGAGTCAAAATAGTTAACTAATTAGCCAAATACATACGTGACATATACCTATTTATAATCTATCAAAAATGCCGGCAAAATGGAAATGGGTATTGTTCTCGAAACTGGAGGAGGATAGGATTCTCTCTTCACCTTCGATCGTTTGGTTTGTTTTTTGGAAAGTTTTCTTAGGCTAGCTTATTCAGTGGTATCTCCTCAGTGGGATGGACCTGATCCTTTGGCTCTGGTTTGCTAGTGCGGCAGCATTTGGTTTTGATGCCGCCAATATCCTGGCGGCAAATGAGTCCGATGACGATACCAATCACGGCCAAAACCATGATGCCTGGTGGGTAAGATCGAACAAATTAGTATAGTTTTGTATCGCAGTAAAAGGTCTATAACTCAAACAACCATACACTTAAATATAATGATATGTACTTTGCTTTGAGACTCACTGTTTAAAATAACAGGGAAATAGCGAGAACCGCTCTAACCATTTCATTTGGTTTGGTAATGAGGCATGTGGTAGTTGGAGTTATGAAACTTAGTCCCGAGTTGTACTCACAGATGAGCAGCGTGTTGATGGCCTCCTGGGAGATCTGCACCTGGTTGGTCTGGTTCTCGGCAGGCGGTTCCACGCTCACTCCACTGGTGCTGGTCTCGGAGCTCAGGATTCCGGCTTTGACCAGCTCCGTGCTGTTGTCCATTGTGCCCCGATTGCGATTGGCTAATGGCGAACAATGGGCAAGAGTAATAGCCACGTTAGCTAGATGATGTACGAGTCACGGGAAATAGCTCACCACTTCTCGGCGGTGCAGGTGTGGAGGTAACTGGCCTCGCAGTACTGGGCGGATCAGAAGTCCCCTTGAGTGGCGGCTCCGTGGGATAGATGAGGCTGCCGTTGAAGGGGGTGCCCAGCACGAACTCGTAGCAGCTGATGTCGAAGTTGAGGAAGCTAATCGTATCGATGGAGGTCAGCAGGCCGCACAGCTCCTCGATCTTCGGTTGCTCCAGTTCCGGCAGCTTCAGTTTAATTATTTTTGTTAGCGGCGAGAAAGCTTTCGTATTGATTTGCTGTCGGAATGGAAAAGCGTGAGCGGGACAGCTATATAGTGGTGGGCGATGGCAAGCACAGCTGTTTTGGCTGGAGCTGCGCCAACTATCGATAGCACCGGCGATAGCTCACAAACGAATGCGCTATCGCACTATTGGCGCGCGATTCTCACCTGTTTGAAATCGTTCTTGTTCAAGCGCAGCACCTCCAACCCACTCATGTTCTGGAACGTCTGCTCCGGCAGCTCCGTCCAGCTGCAGTTGACGCAACTGAACTCCACCAAGTCGGGCTGATTCAGGAAGGACCCATCCAGTCGCTGGGCTATGGTGTTGTTGCTCAAATCAAGTAGCGTCAGTTCCTTGGCCGCCGCAAAGGTGTCGGGATCGATTTTGGTCAGACGGTTGTTGGCCAGCCGCAGGCGCTTCAAGCGCTCTGACCCCTGAAAGACCTACAAAGGATAATGCAATGATTACACAATTGAAATACAAACAGGATTGGGCACAGTTCGTAGAATCATTTGTGCACTTACATCCTTGTCTATTCTGCTGATCAAATTGTGATTCAGATTGATTTCCACCGCTCTGGACAGATTGGCAAAATCCTCCGGCCTCAGTTCGGCAATCACATTGTGGCTCAGATCGATGATGGCCGCCGTTTTGGGCATGTCCAGGGGCACATGGGTTAAATGGGCATTGGCACACTGAACGAACTTGAAGTCCTCCAGGCAGAGGCAGTTGCGCGGGCAACTGGGCTCCAGGACATGGTTGCTGCGCCGTGGTATGTCTGTAAAATAAGTCACCATTAGCTTTGCATTTCTGAACGCTATCAGTACGCTGGTACTCACTAAATATTGGTCGAAATGTGGTGGTTGTCGATGTGGAGGATGATTGTGGCATCAGTCTATTTTCTGCTGTCTCTGGCGATTCCTCGCCTGTCGTTGTTTCACTGTAGTCATCATCGCTGTAGTCATCGAGGGGATTGGCCTCCTCACTGCCCGCTGGAGCGGCATTTGTGTGGCTGATGCTGTAAGAATATTCATTAGATTATTGCTTGTCTCGACTCAATAATCCAGCCATATACCAATTTGGTTTTTCCTCGACTTATAAAGCGTTTTAAACGAATACACATAGCTTTTGAAGAAAAACGCAGGGCAATTACAAACGAAATCGCTTTTCTGATAGAGCAATTACTTGCCAAATTCGTTAAGTTGTTTTACCAAAAGTCCAAAATTGTCAATACTTGGCTTAAGATTGTCGCTGGGTTCTAAGCAGAACGTGGTTACATCACTCACGTCTTGAAGGCGAACACACCTAGCTAATTTGTCCTGAAAACGCTCTTGACCCATTTTGCTATGACCACGCCAAAGCCACACAGAAACATTCGTTTTCCCCACTATCATTATACGGCTATTGTTTATGTTTGCTCCACGAAAGAGCATGAATGAATGTACTCACATGTGCGAGCAAACATTCAAAGTATTTCTCCCTACAGTTGTGGGCACAACGATAGAAGTGATGCAGAACTGTAAGTGCAATTTAAAATGACTAGCCTTAAGTTATTTTAGAATAACGTAGAATCTAATAGAAAGAATCTAATAGAATCCATAAAAGAAGGATCTTCGAGTTAAAGAATATTTAGAAACCACACATTTATTTTTATATCTTTGTTTCTGTTGACTGGCCTAACATTTCCGAAACGTACTGTAGCTATTCAGCAAAAAGCACAGATAAAACCAGTTTACCTCATGGCAAAAGAGACAACTCGACCGGTTTTAGTTTACGATTTCGTTCACTCTCACTTTTAGTGTTTTGTTTTATTTTTTTGCTGCCTTTTGTAAACCCTCTTAATTTTTTGCGACTGGCTCGCCTGATTCTAAATCGTTCGTTATCCTTGCATTCGCCGACTTCAGTTCTAGTGGGTGTTTTCATTAAGAAAAAGGTGGAAACTGGCTGGTAGAGTAGTTCAAGTGGGTCTTTGGACTGCCATTTAGAGTTCTCTTCAATTGCGTGACTTTTGAGTGAAGTTGCAATGAATGTTGAAGAGCCTCTTCAATCCTTAAAAGTGCCAAAACGAATCGAACGAACTACCTTAGAGAGTCGAATGCTCGAACCACATGTGCTGATATGGGACTAATAATTGATATATACTCCTACCGGATAATAAAGATATATTTATCGGACGTTTCGAATTGCCTTCAAGCTTCAGCTGCTCGAGCAAGTTAATGGGTATTACGAAAGATCTCTAAACTGTTACTAAGCATGACGACCTAGTCTAAGTAATTCCCTTGACTACTTGAATGAAGTGACTAAAATTGGAAGCGGCGCACTTGAAAGCACTCTACTTTGACATTTGATTTCTAGTGGCTAAAAAGACTCGAAAAGGCCCGAAAATCAATAGGGAAATGGGCTTATATGCACTGGAAAAATACATCGATACAAACTTGTGAAGAAGAGAATGATAAAAGTAATATAAAAATTGAGGTTTTTAAACACACAAGTATTTGAAAAGCCTTGTTAATGGTAAGAGAACAATGCTATATATTTATTATTACATATATAATTCGATTTTTATGTGTACTTTACGAAATCGGAAATGGCTAAAGCACATCTGAGTTATAAATTCAATAAAAAAATCTGAAATTCGAGACAGTTGTAAATTTTCGTGTCATTTGCAATTTTGCTTCGATATTGGCTGAGAAATTCAAAACGCTGAGCAAACAATTTGATAAGAAATAACGGTATAAATTATCGGACAACCGGGGAATTGTTATTATTTTTATCAGATTATGCGATATGATTAAGTAGAGTGTAAATTCGTGCACCATACATATATTAAAGGCGGCAATTAAGAGCGGTTGCCGTGGACTATCAATAAAAAGTTGCTTTTTGTTTTATAACCCCATGCGTGAGTATTCCATTTGGCATTGATATCTCAGTTGTGGGCGGGTCAAAGTCCCGTTACTCGGGTTCACCTGTCGTTATTCCGATTTGAGTGAATTAATCACTGCGAATGTTGCTAAACGGAAACTTTGCCCCGTGTCTTTGTCGCTTCGTTTTTAGCCAAGGGCTTGCTGATTTCTATAAATAAATGGATTACTTTTCCAGCCCCATAAGAATAACAAATGTGTTTTCTTCGCATATCGAGATCTGTAAATATTTATTGCAATTTAATGTTTACCTCACGCTTAGCAAAAATATCAGCAGTAATCCGAACTTGTAGTACACGTGCATTATAATAATATTATTATTTGTTTATTGATATTTGTTTAGCTTTGATTTCACTGCGTCTTCAGGCGTGTTGTTAATATTTGTGTTTATCTCACGGTTTTCATTGCATTTTCGTGTTGTTCGCGAACTTGATGTGGAAATGTTCAAGCTGAAAATAGATTTTATTAGGTGTTAGGGGTATATTTTTGCACTGCTTTTCTCTTTTCACTTTGCACTTTTCGTGTTCATCTGTTTCGCTTTGAAATTACAGCTTCAAAGTTGATTAATACCCATTTACATTTGCCGGCTTACTTTTGCCAAAAGTTAAATAATTATTTTTCACTCCGCTCGCACGAACTTTTCCACTCGATGCCGATTCTCAAATGAGCAAAAAATTCGCCAGCAATTCCCATTCCGTTCGAATGACTGAACAGGTGTCTGTGTGTGTCAGTGTGAGCTCCAAAGAGCGACAAAAGTTATCTCTCTCTTTCCCCAACTCTCTCTCATGTTAAGTTTAATGTTTAGCCGTGGTTATCTTATCAGTTTTTAATACTTAATTGCTGTGTCTCATCCCCTCGCGATTTCTACTTAGCTATTAACCAACTTCTGACTTTTTAATCGATGTATTAAGTTTTCACTCCTAATAGTATATCAAATATCAATAATGAAATTAATTGAAAACAACCCAAAGGCTCTAATATTAATCGCTGTAAATGAAACCTAATCGGTTGAGTAAACTTATTTTAATTAATAAACATTACATCACATTATAAATTAAAAGTTTCAAACTATTATTTTCAACATTATTTGTAAGCAGCAGAATTGTAAACACAAAGAACTATTTAAGCCGGCTTGCAATAATAATAAAATTAATTACACACTTGTCCGATTAGAATTAATGCCGATCGTAATGAACTTTGCTTTGGACTTGACTTATAAATCGGTCGGCGGCCTGCCTTTTGATATGAAAAGAGGGAAGCTTCGCAGTTTACATTTTTACATAATTTGCTTGAAAAATGTGAAACACTGGGCTGAATCATACCGATTCAATTGGACGTGATTTGAGTGATAAGTGATAGGTTTGTTTGATTATTTGATTCACCGAGTACTTAGTTAAACTCTTGTTTTAATTCCGTTTCTAGGTCTTTGTGTTGTGATTGCGATGAACAATGTATATAAGCGTTGTTTTTATCGCCTACAATAAGTTGACCTTTAGTCCACTGCGCTTACTTCGAATGACTCGCGTCGTTTTCTGATATTTGTTCGATAATATATTTACTAAATTAGGTATTACACTGGGTAGTTTTCTCATTGAATTGTACTGAATGGAGGTGTATCGCGTTGAAATGTCGATTCAGGATTTGCTAACTTGGCGTTTTGTTGTCGCGCGATAACGTGCGATTCATGCCACCGTCGAATTGAGAATGAGCTGCGAACGGAACCGCAGAAGCAGCGAGCTCAAAAGTTGAATTTGAGAGAGCGGCTGAAGAGAGTCTTCTCTTCGCTCCCAAAGCGCTCTCTTCATACTCGATTCTTCAAAATAATATTTTAAAAACGAAAAAGAAAAAAAACAGAGAAGCCCATTAATTACGCAAGTGCATTTTCCAATAAATCGCTTACTCATGGGCACTTGTTGCCGGGAAATAAATCGCATTGCATATGGCATATAATTTAAGAATTGTTAAAAACCCTAGAGGAAAAAAGCCCTCTTCAAGCGAGTATTTCCCCATTTCTTTCAAACTTTTACTTTTATGTTTGTGTACTTTGCATGTCAATGACTTTTTGTTTAATGTTCTTTTCTCTTCGCTGCTCTTCGGCGATTTTAGCGATTTCACAAAACGCCAGTGCAGTGAAATCTTTTGTCATTTCAATTTGGCTGTTTAATTGCCTAATGTTGCTTTGTTTGCTCATTAAACTGTAAGTGGTCCATATAGTTTCTCATGGAAAACAAAAAGTCCATAAAAACGGATAAAAATGTTCGCCGCGCACATTACTTTGTTGGTTTTTGGTGGTGTGTTCGCGTGGAATTCTATAGTCATGTCTTTGATTGGCGGCCTCAAGGTCAAACTTCGCAAATCCTTTTTGGCAACTTGCTCAGGCCAAAAAAATAACGGCATTTTGGAGAGACAGGGGTTTTCTTCATTAACATTTTAGCGAGGGCTGCTTTCAAAATTTTGCAATATTGTGAAATTCCATTCACTTTCAAACATTTTCCTTGTTCGCTGTTTTTAAATGTAAGGTAACTTCGAATACTTTAAAGATTATTTTTAAACGTTCAATATTAACGGCTGATGGTAAAAATCATAAGAGCAAAGCATCAATTATCGTAAGTTGAGTATGGGAAATTCAATGATCATTTACTTATTTTAAAGTAATGTTACAAGGAAGTGCATTTCAAATTTCCAAGTGTAAATTCCCCTAACATAGTCAAAATTTTATAGCTTACTTTTACCCCAACTCTTTCACCGCATCTGCTGGCATAAACCGGAACAGAACTTTTGTTGGGCCAACGACAAAAGAAAAGCAGCTGGCTGGCTGATCCATAGACATATTTCCCTAATTCCAGTTCTTGATTCAGAAAATTGCCATAAATCATATTCGCTTTGACCTTGCCGTTTTCTGTGATTGTCTGGGACTTGCACAAAAGTCGAGCAGCTGAAAGCAAAAAGATGGAAAGACCGACTGAATCAAATCTCGGGGCTCTTTCATTTTCGCACTGATTGGACCTAATTCGTTTGCATGGGTTGCATTCTGCTTTTGACTGGTCTTTGGGGTCCCAGAAGATTTAGATTTATATGCGGGCTGAACTCTTGACTCGTGCTTGGCGTGGGGGTCTCTCTTAATTTGATTTTCCAATCAGCCCCACTCACTCTTCCTCCTTTTGACTTTCTCTTTACAGTACTGCAATGGCGGCGACTTGGCGGATTATCTGAGTGTCAAGGGGACGCTGAGCGAGGATACCGTTAGGCTCTTTCTCGTGCAACTAGGTGAGACTCGAACATCCCATATAAGGCGTAGTCCTAACTAATATTTCTAGTCATCATCAACAATTTTATTAAAAGAACTTGATGGACTTGACTTAGAACTGCGAAATATTTGATTGATATCAGTATCAGGAGCTATAATACAACTTTCTTTTGTTTCCCCTTATTCCAGCTGGTGCTATGAAGGCACTTTATACCAAAGGAATTGTGCACCGTGATCTCAAGCCACAAAACATTTTGCTATCGCACAATTATGGCAAAACATTGCCAGCTCCATCGAAAATAACCCTGAAAATTGGTAAGCTTTGTAATAAAAACAAAAATATATATATATTCTCTAAAAAAGCTCTTATTAAAAGCTCTAATTAAAGTTATTACCCTAAAAAACTGGGTATTACTAGCAAAAATTCATATAGTCAAATACTTTCCCTGATATATATGTATATTATACTATTTTAACATTTCTTTTTTACAGCCGATTTTGGGTTTGCGCGTTTTCTGAACGAGGGCGCCATGGCAGCCACTCTGTGCGGCTCTCCCATGTATATGGTAATTAGAAAACGTACAACAGTCGAAGTATTAAATAATACGATATATTTGATTTCCAAAGGCTCCCGAGGTGATCATGTCGCTGCAGTACGACTCCAAGGCGGATCTCTGGTCGCTGGGAACGATTGTCTACCAGTGTTTGACTGGCAAGGCGCCATTCTATGCACAAACGCCCAACGAACTGAAGTCCTACTACGAGCAGAATGCCAACCTGGCACCAAAGTAAGATACCTCATAATACCTTAAGAAGGCTATTAACCCAGTTTCTTTGAAGAATTCCAAGTGGCGTCTCGCCTGATCTGAGGGATCTGCTGCTGTGCCTGCTGCGGCGCAACTCCAAGGATCGCATCTCGTACGAGAGCTTCTTTGTGCACCGCTTCCTTCAGGGCAAGAAGGCGGCCGCGTCGCCAGGTGAGCCTAGTCAAGCAGCCAGCCTGCGACGACGAGTCTCTAAGAGTGGTGTTCTTGCAGTTGACATGCCACCGCTGGGCGGCACACCGCCTGCCAAGGCCAAGAGCCCCTTGCAGCAGCAGCTCGAGCAGGAACTGAAGCTGGTCAAGCTGGCCGAGCAGCAGCAGAAGGAGCGCGAGGAGCAGGAGGCCCAGGAGGACGAGAACACGGGTAGGTGTTACATTCGGTCGCCTCCATCAGGGTTCACTTAACAAACACAATTGCCAATCACAATGGGTTCATTACACACCTTTGAAAACCACAATCCGCCTGCTTTTAATAAAAACTCACTTAACTTGAAAGCAGGTGATAACTCTTCGAGAAAATACAGAAATTAACACCCTGGCATTATTTAACAACTTTATGTTAATTTCAAGTGGCGCAATTAAACGAAAAAGTGTGCCTTATTAAGCATTTAAAACGTTGCTCATATTAGTTGCTTACGACAAAATCAATTAATCATTAGAAATGATTAATGGGAACCATATATGTAAATGACCCCGAATTCAACGCTTCCTATTTCATGTTTTCAGTGTCCGTGGTGGCCAATCCGGCTATTTGTGCCACCATCACCAACGTGGGCGTCCTGTGCGACAGCGAGAACAACAGCGGATCGTGCAGCTCCCACGAGGACTCCGATGACTTTGTGCTGGTGCCCAAGAACCTTCCGGAGGACCAGCGCCAAGGTCTGGCCCAGGCCCAAGTCCAAGCCCAGCCCGCTTCCGGTGGCCAACGTCCACAGCAGCAACAAAATCAATCCAGTCCGCCACGTCCCAGCAGTCTGCCCATCTCTGAACCCAAACCAGTGCCAGCTCCCGCTCGTCGCCAGGTGGCCAGACCCGGACCGTTAACGGTAGCCACGCTGGGTGGCCAGCAGATACCCCGGTCGCAGCCAATTAGCGTGAAGCAACCGCGACCGGATCAGCGCAAGAGCAGTGTGAGCAGTGACATTAACTCGATCTCACCGCCGGCGGTGCAGTTTGCCATTGGAACGCCGCCCACGCGAATGCGTTCCGCCTCGGGAGGATCGCTGTCGGAGACTCCGCCGCCACATGCTCCCAGCACATGGCAGGTGTCGCCAGGACACTCGCAATCGCCGTTGCGCCGAAGTGGCAATAGCTCCCCAGTTCTGCCGTCCGCAGCGCTTACCAAGTTGCCCACTTTGGGCAGTCCCACAATGCTGGTGGCGCCGGGATCACTGGGCTCGATTGGATCGGCGGGCAGTGGATCGGAGAACAACAATCAGCATCACATGCTGGGACCGCGAGCTTTTACGCTGCCCGAACTGGGGGCCACTGGTGGGCTACATAGTCTGCTGGACACAGGAGCCGGTGGTGGTGGAGAACCACATGCATTCCAGGCCCCAGAGCTCTCCGAAGAGACGCTGATGGATCGCGAGCACAACGAGACATTGTCCAAGCTGAACTTTGTCCTGGCACTCACCGATTGCATCCAGGAAGTGGCCGACTCGCGATGCGCACCGCTCTCCACGTTCATGGTGGCAGGCAGCCAGTCGGCGGCGCAAGCGGCGTCAGCGGATGCCCAGCAGATACCGCCACACGCACCTGAGCACTGCAAACGTGCCGAGCGCCTGGTGCTGCTCGTCCGGGGACTTCAGCTCCTCTCGTCCGGGATGAATCTGGCTTCCCAGCAGCTGAGCAACGGCCAGCTAAAGCCGTCGTCCAATGTGAAGAATGGTGAGTTAGAAGATCAGCTTTTGCAGCCACATCCTCTTCAATACATTTTGTTGACCCCTAGCTTTGCTCACTATGAACGCCAAATACCGGAGCATGCTGTTCGAATCGAAACGCCTCAATGGCAGCGGACTCTTGCAGAAGGCGAATGCATTTAACATAACGGCGGACAAGATTCTGTATGACTACGCACTGGATATGGTAAGGAATACTCTGCTCCATATGTTTCTTTTGACTAATAACTAATGATTTCCTAATCCTCTTCAGTGCCAGGCGGCTGCTCTGGATGAGCTACTGAAGAACACCAAGAACTGCTTCGAGCGTTACAACACGGCACACATTCTGCTTCATTCGTTGGTGCAAAAGTGCAATCATCCGCAGGACAAAACGCTGCTGAACAAATGTAAGTCACAACTTAATAACTAGAGAAAGTATAACTAATTTCTTAATAATTACTGCTATTGCAATAGATCGCGATGCCGTTGAGAAGCGTTTGAGCATATTGCAGCAGCATGGCTACATATACATGACCGATGAGAATGCTTAATTACTCGGGCAGAAAGAGCTTTATTCCAACCATGAAGCACCGGCAATCTTCACAACATCAACAACATTTCCTTAAGTTATTCACCATTTTCGTTGGGAGTGCAAACATGTGATTGAAACAAAAACTACACTATCCATACATAGACATACCGACAAATAATTTAAAAACCACCCACAGCTAAATTCTGGCGTTCAGTCCCCAAAAAATCAGTCCAATGTAAATAGTTTGAGCTATGCAGATGTATGTAGTTTTTGTTTTTCTATATAATTTTTGGCCCGCGCGGCAACCATAATTGTTAAAGCTTATAACGAGTGCAGATGCAACATGAATAAGGGCGGATAAGAGTCCATATAGTCGTAAGATAACCATAATATATATATGTTAACATATATATGTACAACACGAAAGCTAACCAAGCAAACAACATTACATAACGTAAAGGGCAATATGCAAGCCAAACTCAGTTTAAATCTATGTTTAAAGAAGGAAGCGGGAGAACCCAGATCCATATATCATGTGCTAGAATTTCTCCGTAGTTGTAAAGCCTACTTTCTTATTTAACAATCTAATATTCCCCTATTATATTATAAACATACCATACAATATTTATGGCTGCACTACACAAACATGTTTACAATGTGCTATGTTCATAGTTTTTAGTTAGGTCTTTTCTAAAACAACTTTAAAGAGGTATTTAATTTTATGACAAGAAATTTATATTTTAAAGAAACTTTTTAAGTTTTTCTACAAGCAAAGCCCACAAAACTTTCGAAAAAATCTATATATGTATATGGTATACAAAAGAGAGAAACACATAAAAGAGTGTATAAAATGAAAACGAAGCAAAATACCGATTTGAACTAATAAAAAGTACTAAGGAAAATCGTAGAAATCAACCTGCTTTAAACAATTAACAAGGAAAACCCCTCTACATTTTAGAAATCTTTAATTATAGATAGGCTTGTGTGAAAATGTAAAAAATATTCAACGTGTAATTTAGACATGGCGCACGCAGTTGATGCGGCAAGGACCTTGGCTATTCCGGTGATTGTTCCGATGAATGTCGACGCCGCCAGCCTCCCACCGCCCACTGTATGGGGAGCTGAAGTGCGGCGAGGCAGTCGGACAATAGCCTGGCATGGTTGAAATCGTTTGCGTTGGAAGGTGCCAGGGTGCAAAGGAAGGAGGCGGCTCACAGCTCCCCGGAGTCACAGTTGCGCCGCCGGAATTCCGCGTGCTGGTGGACGTTGTTGGTGGCTTTTCCTTTTGCTTCGGCTTCGGAGGGATCTTCTCCAGCTGAGCAGCAGCGGAGTTGCTGCAACAGCGACCGCCCGGACTACAGCAGTAATTGCAGCAATTACGACAGCCATTGCAGCAATTCGCGCAGTAGTAGTAGCAGCCGGTGCAGGGATTGTAGTACCAGGACCAAGGGCATTGGTTCGAGCAGGGCATGCAACCGGTATTTACTGCAGCTGGAGCAGGAGCAGCTGCTGGTGGGGGTTCGTTTTCCCTGCGGAATGCATTAAGCATAGATGTAAGCCTCGATGAAAGTGGACGGATGTGGCTACTTACTCAGGCAAATTGGCGGAGCAGCTGCAGCTGCGCATTTCTGGTTTTGTCGGAGGCGACGGGCATGGTTTCTTGCAGTTACAGTTGGGGCAGTCGGCATCATCCTCTACCGGAGATTCGTGTGCTGATGTTTCGGGATATGTCCTAGTATCTTCTATTTGCTTGCCGCTGTGCTCGCTCATCTTGCTCTTGGCCCTTGAGTCATTCGTTTTTATACTCTTCTTGGCAGGCGGCTTCGATTTTTTGCCCTTGTCCTTCGGCATCAGGAGGTGACACCACTTCTGCAGATCACACGGAGGACAGGACTCGGTGATGCTGCAATGGATACGGAAGACATTACAGCACTTTTAAGTACTATGTGTTCCAGTAAAGATGTGTGCCGAATGGTGGATTGTGTAAGCCTAATCCGAAAGCTGAAACAGCTCACAAACTCTGACATTAAACTCACCGGCTGAGGAGCTCCGAGCAGGTCTTCTCCTGCGTCTGCTTTTTTCCAGATCTTGCGTTTTCACCCAGCGAGCAATCAGATTCCTCGGAAATGTAGTAAGGATAATATTGATTGTTGGGATCAAACCGAGTGCAATAGCATTTAATGGATTTCTCATTGGCTGCCTTTGAGCTTGACGGAACTTTGTTCGAATTTCTATCCTTTTTGGGTCCTTCCTTTGATAAGTGGGGTGCTCTCGCGGATTGCGGTCTATTCACATCCTGAGCTGGCTGACCATGAAAGGCATTAAAGTCTTGGACAAATGTGGCATTAAGTGGAGCACAATCATTGTAAGGATAATACTGATTGGAGGGGTCGATGCCCATGCCCACATTCTGTTGGCCATAAGGCACAGGTGGTCTGTTGGAAGGTGCTCCTACGGATTTATTTCGATTCCTGGAGTCGTGCGATCTGTTGTCACGTGCACGCACTTCACCCGCGGATGCCATTGACTTGGGCATGGACCTAGAATTTATATTTCTTTCTCCACCATTTTTAGAATGATGGGGGGAGGATGGGGTTCTACCAGCATTTGGTTTACCCGAACGACCTTCTCTCGACTCGCTGCGGTGATTGAGCGACTTGGACCTCTGAGCCCTTGGACTAACCTGAACATTTTCAGGAGAATTATTGGCTTGATTTGGAGCTCTGCCTGAATGATCTCCCCTGGATGGGCTTCGCTGATTTAGCGACTTGGATCTGGGGCCAGTCGCCAGTTGAGGCTGCAATTGGGGAACTGGCCTTGAATATGTGAATTGACTCTGCTGGCTTACGACTTCAGCTCGGGGAACACCTGAACGCACTTGACTCCTTGATTGGGGAGCATTATTGGTATAAGTTCGATTGTTGGGCTCACAGTGCGTGGCTTGATTTTTGCTGCTATAAGCTGGTGATTTTCCCGCTGAGGAACTATTTTGAGTGACTGGCCTTTGATCTATTGGATGTGGTTGGAATGTTCCTTGGGCCACATTATACGGATTATATTGATTATTGGTGGCAAAACCCATGCCTGTACCCTGAATAAATTGATTATTGGCAGGTACTTGTCCCGTTCCTGGTGGTCTTCTAATTGGCATTTGCTGATCTCCGCATTGGTAAACTTCTCCGGTACAGGGATTAAACCTATTTGCGTACTGTGTAGGTAGACCGGCCGCTGGAGCACATCTTGGATCTCCCTGACCTACCGAGGTTGGTTGAGCCACTGGTAAAACCATGGGACCAGGGACACCAAAGTTTCCATATTGGGTAGGTGGCGGAATACCAAAAATCATTGCATTTCCGGTCGGTCCGTAGGTTCCATAACACGGAATAATAGTAGGTTGTCCCGGCTGGAAGCCAAAGCCTGTTCCTGGAAAGCTTTGCATTCCAGGTCCATATGCTCCAGTCCTAGCCACATCGTTTGGTTCGCAATCTTCAGGATTCTGCTGGTTATTCCCATTCCCTTCCTCACATCCCTCCGCACATGTATCGATGTTCGAACACATATCCTTACATCTGTCCTCACAGGCTGAGCAACTTTTCGAGCGTTTCCTTTTTTTCGGGCTCTTTGGCGACTTCAGAAGAAAACTGGGTGTCACCATGTCCGAGAACTTTTGGTACTCCCCAGGAAACACGACGCGACAATTCCTCATATTCAGGGAGCATGATCGCTCACAGCAACTTGGCCGAGGACAGCAACTTGGCCGAGGACAGCATCTGCAGATGAGAAGAAATTAGTGGTATGAAGACTGTATCTTATTTCTTATACTTACACGCCATGGCAGCTCATGCACCTCCTTAAAAATCGACACGGATCGCACATTTTTCAACTCTAAGCTTTACCTACCTCCTTCTGTTTAAAACTTCCACCTTCACTCATGGTCAATTACGAGGAATTCACAAACAACATCTGTAGTCAAAATATTAAAAAGATGTATCAATAGTACAAATAACTTTTGATGTCCTAAACTAAGTCTATTTTGTTCAAGATATTGCAACATCAGATTTGGTTAGGCATCGTTTTGAAAGAGCTGCTACCATCTTATAATCAGTGTTACAGCCATGTAATGAATATAAAATAATATCCTTGTAGACAAAAAGATTTCCCGGTTTGTTTAACTTATAATTGCTGTCGACCAAAACGCTCTTTTAAGTTTTGGTCAAAAAAATGGCATTACAAAATTTTTTGTCACGTCAAAAACAAATTTAAACGGAAGCATTGTATAATTGAGACAGAAAGTTGTATCTGGGGAAAAAGAAGCAATGCCCAATGTCGAAGTCAAGTCAACCAGGCCCAGTCCCTATTGGCGTCATGCAAGTCCTCCGAGAAGGACAACCACAACCAAATTGAATTTATCCTCGGAGCAAACCAGCAACCGAGTCGGCCAGCAGCTGCTGCGAACCCTGACTCAGAGCTTACCTTCTGGACAGGAAACCATGCGCTCCCGATCCTCCTGCCCACCCACACCTCGTCGGCGACGGGAGGCCAGTGTCTGCAGATCGATGGGTACTCCACAGTCAGTACCACTGATATCGCATGGTAAGGCCAAGACACCAATTCGGTTGAAGGCGGGTATGCCGGTGAAGCAAGTGTTGGGTGGAGACCCACCCAATTCGAAGGCTCTTGGGCAGTCTGTGATGGCCCCAGTTAAACGCCGTAATGAGTCCCCGACGGTCAAGGCGAAAATCAGGGAGGAGCAGTACAATAAGATACCAGAGATGGTAAGTGAGGCATCCGTCGCCAAAGCCAGAGAAAAGGAGTTCGAAAGGATACCTTCCAGGGTTTCTAGTTTGACCGAAGAAAACCAGCAAACAGAAGAGAAAACCATAAATATTACAATCCCGGAAACGCAGGAGAACTCAAAACCAGGAACGAAAACAAATTCAAAGGATAATTTGCAGACCACTAGCTCCGAGAACTCAAAGCCAAATCTAGGGGAAGAAAAGCCCACCGAGAACATAGCAAAAACGCAACCAAAACCACCGGAGCCATCGAACTCGAAGATAATTCCCTGCTTCCGAGGAGAGTATCCCACCAGGCATCGTCTTGGTACTTGCCAATGGTTCCAGACCGACGTGCCCGATTGCGGAAATATCGTGACCATCTGCGATGAGGAGCAGCAAGTTATGGGTGAAGCGGAAATCGTCACCGCCTGCGAGGTAACCGAGGCACATTTCCTGAGCCTCGACTGCCAAGATGATATGAACAGCGAACCGCCACCGCTCTCGAGATGCAATAAGTGCATGGGTTGTCCACAGCAACAGAATGGCAATTGGTTTGGACAGCAACGATCTTGTCTTAAACAGCCACAACCCTGCTTCCAACAGCAGCAACCTTGCTTGCAGCAGCAACCATCTTGCTTCCAGCAGCAGCAACGAAATTGTGGACGAAGTCCACCCTGTCCCAATGCGAAGCCAAGAGGAGGTCTCAAGTACCCGGATCAGCAGCAATCCGGCAAAGCATTTGCTTACAATCTGCAGCAGTCGATGCAGCAGCCCATGCTTCCCCAGATGCAGAATATGTATCCTTGTCAGCAGTTTCAGCCAGTGAATGCCAGTGACCAAATGGAACAGCAAATGCAGTTACAGCCGAAGATGCAACAGCAAGGCATTGAGGAGAACAACTATGGCCTGACCGAAATGCTGGCCGAGGAGCTGAAGAAACAAATGCTCGAGGCTCAGGCGCAGATTGCCCAAGTGCAACTGCAGTTGAATAGTGCCTGCGGAGCCACAAGAGTGCGACAGATGCATGTGCTATCCCAGAACGCCACTGAGGCCCCTCGTTGGGCGCCAGAAACTCAGTTCATGGATGCCTTGGCAGAGGAACAGGACGTGGGCGATGCTCCGCCGGATGCAACAATTGAAAACGGTGAAGAGGATCAAGTAGTTGACGCGCGATTGGATCAACATTCATTTCCAGCTAGCTTTCCCTGCCAAGCCATTGAGTCCACCAGGTCGGAGACGATTTGGGCCATGCCAGCAGCTCCTCAGTCGTCACAGCCAGAGATGCAGTTCGGCCTGTATCCTATGCCACTATCGATGCCAAATCAGAATAACTATTTCCAGCGGAATGCTCAACAGTTTCCTTGCCAAATGGCTCCTTTTCAGCAGCCACAACAGCAGCAAATGGCTCATTGTCAGCAGATTCAGTCCTGCAGAGCACCACCTTGCCCGCCCAAAATGCCGCCTCCTTGCCAGCAGAAGCAGCAGCAGCGGTTATCCTGTCAGCAGCAGCAGCAGCAGCAGCCCATGAGATCTGGCCAACCAGCCCAGTCCAATAAGTGTTCCCATTCTCCACAATTTTGTCCCAGTTGTTGTTGCCAGCGGTATGCCCAAATGCGATTCATGATGCCCCGATGTTGGCTGCGCTAAGGACTTCGAAAAGTCGTATATTTGTGGCGTAACTTACCTTGAACAGTCAACATATTTGTTTCTTCAAGTTAAGATACCCTACAAATGCCACTTTCAACGCGAAAGTTGTGCAATTCTTCCGTTTAAAATTGAGGCAAATCGAGGAAATGCCTCGAATAAAGTTTGGATTTTAGAGCCTTATATTTGAGTTTTTTGTCAATCGCTTGAAGTTTGGTCTTGCACATTTTAAATTCACAGTTTTCCAATTTTTAGGCAACGAGAGGCCAAGACTCAGAACTGCACGCCCCATTTTGTTAAAATTACAGATTTTTTCATTAAATATATAATCAGAGGAAGGGACATCCCCTCTGCATTTGTTTTAATTCAAGAATTTGTAATTTAAATCAAATGTCCGGCGGTTTTCAGCGGTGTCACCAGCCATTCTGCTGTCAAAAAATGCACCCTTGCATTTCTGAAAGAAATAAAGCCATGCTGGGAAAAGGATATAGATTAGGTGGATCAGTTGGAACGGTTTTGCAAGAGGTTATCCGGAAGTCTGGGAAAGAAGCCCCAAGAACTCCGAAGATTGGTGTCACTTTTCCATGCAAATTTAGCAAACCAAAAGGCCAGGAAGATAACTTTACCCGAAACTTATTACCAGGTAAATAACTATTGAAGATCTTAAATCTAATTTCTAATACCTCAGATCTCAAAGGAAAAACGTTATTAAATAAAGTTGGATCCATAAGTAAATCTTTGGCAAGTCAAGGAATCCAAAATCCGAAGCCGAAAGCAAATTTGGAACAGGATCAAAAAGCGCTCGTAAGGATCAATCCTAAACGTAGAAGAGGCAAAAGGTCGCCTAAGAGGTCAACTGCGGGAAATATTGAACAGCCCCTTGATGACAATGGCATATGGTGAGTAGGCTTTTGTGGGTTAACCCTTGTTTAAACACGAATCGTAATTAGGTTTGAATGCAATGTGCCCTTTCGAGTAAATATTCCCTTTCCTATTAGCATGAAGAATCTATTTGGTTCCCAGCTATTTCCAGGCAATAGCAACTACCAGATCCTTAAAGCCCTTGTGCCGGAAGGAAATTTACAGAAGGATAGTAAGCTAGAGTGGCCTTTAAGCTTTTCAATGCGTCCAGCTCTTCCACCTCCAGATCTGCAATCTAACACTTCATCCATCAAAGCAGTAGGATTCACAAAGAAAAAGGGATTAAGACGTGGAAAAAAAGCCTTTCCCTGCGAAACATCCACTCAAACGATCGAAGAAGAATCTGATCCTGTTTTGAGCTGCCTGGAACAAATCAGAAATCAACTGGCCGGCAAAACTCCTGAGAATCAAGAAAAGAAGATATCACGCTGCTTTGCCGAGAAATCTACAAATGTAAGGAGTATTCAGGGCGATAGAAATGAAGCTGGTGTGGAAGAACCTACGCAGTCATCACCAAATGAAGCCATTGAAGCAGTGAAAGACGATAAAAGTGATAATTCAAAGCCCTCTGATCCGCAACAAACAACATCATCTGGAAGTTTCCAGAAAAGATCGCCAAGGAATTCTTTAAACATATTAGCGCAGCCTAAATCAAAGACCAACAATATGGTCAAGAAAAGTACTTCTTCTAAAACTCAGTCAAATCTGAACGCTGTGTCTTCACCGGTTTCCACAGGAACGCCAAAGAAGTCACAAGAAAAAGTGGAAACTAATTTAAATCGTGAAGATGGGGACTTGAAGAAGCCAAAGGATACCGTTGAAGGAACTGGTTTTGTAAATGTCACCAAGCCCATTTTAAAACCGTGTATTTGTCTGTGCAGGCTTCCAAGGGTTTTTCCAAAATTTACGAGAGTTATGATGCCAATAACAACGTGCCAGCATAATTTTATGAATGGATGTCGAATGCCGAAATGGCAAAACCATAGTCAACCCAACCAGCACTGCTGCCAATGTATCCACACACAAGGAAACCAAAAACGAATACCTCCTACAACTGCATCTATGAAGGATGTACCATATGAACAAGAGCAATCAGAAAAGAGAAACCATAGCAATTCAAGGTCTTGTTTAAGTAATTGTGAAAAACCCATGTCAACGGGCCAGCGGTCTATTATGAAAAGAAAATCCGGAAAGCCCAATCAAAGATTCGGCTGTAGGACCTCGAATAGGAACATTTGCTTTAGGGAACGCATATCCACTTTCAGCCAATCAACCCAAATAGAATATCCCACAAAAGAATGTGCCCAGTATCATTGTAATGAATCCTATGCTTCTAGCAGAACCGATACTGATGGTGACTATGTGGATGGATCCTCAAATAGCGACTTTAGATCCTCAAACAGTGTGAAAAGTAAAAGTTCTCCTCATAGTACCTCTGTTAGGAGCGGATCAAATAGTAGCTATACTGCCCCAAGTGCTAATCCTAGTGAAAAAGAGTCTTATTCTGAAGGATCGAAGAGTGAAGGCCCAAAGGAATCTTCTCCAGAAACAAAATCAAATATAAGCAGCAACGAATCCCTGTCATCGTCTAGAAAAACATCTCGTGCGAGTTCTATTAAGAGTAATTCGAAAACTTCCACACGAAACGAGGTTAATCGTTTCAAAAATAAAAATAATGAATTGCCTCAAAATAAAACTGGGAATAAACGGAAACAACGTCTTAGGAAACGTATAAGTTCTGGGGGCGAAACTTTTCCAGAGGGCTCCATAGATTGTGGTCATGATGAATTCTCGGAGGAGGCAGACGCACAAACTCCAAAAACATCTAAAAACAGCTTTGAAGCTTTGAAAGCAAGTGAAAATAAATGTGGAACGGATATAAAAGAGAGTAAATTGAGCAAAAATTCGGACCATTTACTTTCTGAAAGAAACACCCGAAAAGCAAGTTCCGGAAAGCAAAGTCAAGAACAAAAAGCTGACAGTTCAAAGGAATCAATCTGCAGTAGAAACTCGGATCAAAGAAATAACTTCGAATGTTATCCAAACGGTGCGGCTCATACTAAAGATCAATGCAATGGACATCGAGAAGTATCTTTCAGGCAGCGCTCACAATCAGCCCCCGAGTGCTGGATACTTCGATTTCCCCAAGGGAACCCAACAAATAGATCTAAAAAATCACACCAATATTCTCCGGAAAATTGCACAGAAAGTCAGAGTTGTCCAGAAAACGTACTTGTACTTCAGGACGAAACTGGTGAAAGCGATTCAGATGACTGTGCCCTCGTAAGATGCAACGATTTCTCAACAGAAAATGAGACCTTAAATGCGAACTGCCTTGAATGCGAAACTCCGGACTACAGTATAAATGCGAGTATTTTAAATCAGCTTAGGAAGGAGGAAAGCTCGATTAGTCCCACACCAAGCCAAAGAACCTTTATCCTTGCTGGCGATCAACATACGAATGATCTTAACACACCACAACAGGACCAAGAAAGGTATGAAAAACGTGAAAATAATTGCCTATTGTTTTGAAACCTCTTTTATTTCAGGGAAAAACCACCTATGGTGCAAGTGCCTTTTCGCATGAGCAGCACGGAAGAGTTGGGCATTTCCCAACCAAAACAATGGTGAGTGTTCTCTTCTGACAACTATGACCAGTTTTTAATCAAAAAATATTGCAGGAGGGAGTTGGGTCTAAAACTCACGATGCTCAATGCCAACCAATTTCAAATGGCACCAGCAACTACAAATCACGTGTCATTACCAACCAAGCTACCAAAAAGACCCAACAATCAAAACCCCAATTCTTATTGTGGGCCGATAAATGGTGTATTTGTTCTAGCTTCTTCTCTACCTACAAGGACGAATGCCGTAGAGGAATCTGCTGAAAGGAGAAATAGAAATCTGCAGAACATAAATCAATCAGGCACATTAGATTCCTTGAGTAGCGATTATCCTACTTCACGACGTAATATATCCTCAGAAAATAGGGCCAATGCTCCAGCCCAAACATCTTACGCAGCGCTCAGAGGTATTCGAAAGAATGATTCAAACAATTCGAATAGCGAAAGATTCATTTCGGTTAGCAGCCAACATCCTGAACTCAGCCAAGATGAATCCCGAAATTGTTATAGGAAATCAGATTATAGAAGCGACCAAAGCCACCAAGAAAGTCAACAAGAGGAAGCTATTGCTGGAGTTTCTGGCTATTCTGAAATGCAATCAATGCCTACTGTCTTAACCTGGACAGATCCAGCTCCGAATTCCCAATTAGTAGCTTCCAATAGATCAAATGCCACAGAGAGATCGACTGACGTGGAAACCCTGGAAACGGTGACTCTGATGCAACCACGAAAACTTCGAAGTTGTGAAAGTGCTGGAATCAGAAACCAGGCTAATAGGAATGAGAACACCGTTCTTATGGAGACAAGAACTCCCTGCAACAGAGAAAATCTCCTCCACACCTGTGGACGACCGCCCTGTAACTCTTGTCCTCACCATTACACGGGTCTTCCTCCAGGACTACATCAAGGATTTATGAAGCCTGAGGATCACATGCTACAGCCACAGATCTCTGCGAGTGCACCACAAAATATCACTCCTTTCGATGAAGGATACCTTATAGATCCACGGGATCAGTGGATGACCAATAAATCACCTGCTTCCGCACCAGCAATGCAGAGTGCATTTCAAATGAAGGCACCGTATCAGCCCAAACCAAGACCCCACCATCACTTTCAGGAACCTGTACATCCTCCACAAAGTTCCTTTCAGCCCAGAAATTCTGACCACTATCCAGAACTGAAAGAGAACATTAGAATGCTTCCAGATGGATTCTATGATCGCACCGTGAATAAGTATAACATAGCACGAATGGACTCAAACTTTCAGCCACCGGAATTTTCACTGGAGCCGGAATTCCTTCACGCAGAACAGCACCCTACTTTTAGGCAGCAAGCTGGTCCATATGGCAATCAATTTCATCCGCAACTGATGATGGCATCCGTTCCAGATCCTAATCGGCGTTATATTCCACCGCAGAACCAATACCCAGCTGAGATGCAAAACCAACTCTCGATGTATTGGACACAGCAAAATATAAATTTGGGTTACTATGATCAATCGGAATACCAAATTTAAACCCAATAGCTGAACAAAAAATACATTAAATTATTTATAAAAGAATATCAAAATTGTTCTTCTTGTTTTCAAAAGTAATATGGTACACATATGGTATCCTATTTTATGAAAGGTGTACCTTTAAAAACTATCGTATATTTCATTTGTATTTAATTATATATAGCCTTATTACCATTGAAAAGAATTGAAGAATTGCTATAAATTATTTTCGCGCTCGGAATAGCGATGCAAAAAGTTGATGACTATCGAACCGAAAACATCGATAGGGGAAAGCCCGCATATCGGTACACCGCCCAGCCCTATAAACTTTTATCGATAAAGGAAAACAACATTTGTTTATATGACTAATTTACTCTTACACTCATTGTTTCATACACGCACACGAACTCAATCCGAATGAATACGATTGCGGCCAATACGAAAACAATGGCCAACATCGTTAATAAGATAAGATAACTCCCGTTTCCAATGTCTTTGCTCTAATGCACATACATCGCGCTGCGAATGATTCCAGTTTGTTCAGCAAGTACGCCAAGAATTGTCAGTAAACAATGGCAACTCACGCCGAGAAGGAATTCTACCACCTGGTACGTAAGCCCAACCGCCAAGAATACCCACAGCAGATTATAGGCACGGGTGTTGACAAATCATGTGCATAGTGTAAATACCTAAATGTTTATACACACAACTACAGGCGCGCCGCTCAAATTTGCATAAACATTTCGCTTAAGAAGTCTGCCTTGAACCAGATTATATGGAACAGCTTCAAATATCATCCACTTTTCACACGATTTGCAACACCACAGAGACTACACGACATGCTAATCCCAAATTTCTCCGCTTCGGCTGACCCAGAAAATTAGAAACTGCAATGAATGCTATGTGGACTACATACACTTTTATCAATTGTTCAATCTGCAAACAAAGGCCTTTCAAATTTTGTGATTGCCGACCCAAATTCGGCACGATAAGAAGTAAAAACTAGTAGTTAGTTTACCTTCTGTTATCATAAAATCATATTAAACACAAGTGCAATCTAATTGTTAAAAGCATCGAAATCTTTTGATGCCTTACAAAGGCCAAACTAAATAGTCGATCACTGAGTCACCCCCTTTAGATCGAATTCCACTAAAGAGTAGTAGATATCGTCCGCCAAAATCAGTCCATATCTTATAAGCTGAGTCAGTCACTTATCCGAAAGAGTAAAAACCAAATAATAATATAATCTATACTGAAAAGCTATTCAAACTATAATACATACATTACATTTCAGAACGTCAGCGTGTCCAAAGCTTTAAATGGCCTGGAAGCGCCACTCAAAACCAAACATGCCCGCTCCATTATTATTATGATACACAAGGCCAAGGAGGCGAAAACCTTCTGGATGATCATCTCCCGGCAGCCTCTGATGCAGAACAGATTTACCGCCTGGAAGTTTTCGCATCTGCTACACAAGGTTCTACGAGAAGGTCATGAAAGTGCCATCAGGCACTCACAGAGCCACAAGAAGATGATCCTGGAAGTGGGCAAAATGTGGGGCCTACTGCAGGATGACATTGGATGCTGTATACAGGCGTACAGTAAGCTCCTGGCTACAAAATTAAGTTTCCACGACAAAAATCGAATGTTTCCCGGCACTCTAAACATTTCGTTCACCGAACTTTTCATTGCAGTGGATCGGGATTTAAATTATTGGTAAGTAAGGGTATGGAAATATATAACTCTCAAACTACTAAGACAAAACGTTGGATTCCAGTTTTCAACTGTGCGTGGAAATTTTCGACTACTTGGAGGATATAATTGCCCTGCAGCTAACGATATTTTCTTCGATGGAAAAGTACAGAATGTCGTCGATGACACCGCAGGGACAATGTAGACTAGCGCCAATAGTTTGCCTTATCCAGGATTCCAATGCGTTGTACGACTTAAGCGTTCGGTTGATGTTTAAACTACACGATGGTGTACCATACGACGTTGTTTCCGGTCACAGAGATCGGTTTCACGGCCTGTTTTTAAGGTTGAAGAGTTTTTACAACAAAGTGCGACCGCTTCAGTATTTTAAGGACTTAATAACAATCCCGGAATTGCCGGACTCAAGTCCCAACTTCAAGTCGCAAAACGATTTCACCAGTTATGTTCCACCAGTGGTCCATGTTCCGCAGGAGCCCGATCCGGTTGTTGAAGACCTTGTGGATACCAACAATCACGAACTGGAAGCCTTCAGCCAAGCCCAACAGCAGTTGAGCATGTTAGAGGGCATAATCAGTGAGAAAGAGGCTAGCATTGAGGAGCTGTCATTTAAATTGGACGCCATGCAAAAAAATTTCGACGAACTACGACAGAGTTACAGACACGACGTTCAGGAGTTGCAACAGAACAATACTGTGCTGTCAAATGATTTGGTCTTGGCGAGAGAAATGTGTGCCACCTTCCGGATGCAAAACGACGATCTTGAGATGCAACTGAATCAGAACCCAATTCTTTTACGTAATTAAATGCATATCAAACGTAATGAAGTCATATAAATATATTTTATATTTCAGAAAAAGCAATGGAGGAAGAAGAAAAGCATAAGTTATCATCGGAAAAATTTAATAAACTCAAAACTCTCTACACAAAGATTCGGGATGAGCACATTCAGCTGCTGAGAGAGGTATGCAAAAAACATTTACAGATTTCCTGTACTAATAATCATTTACTTACCTTCATATCAGCAAAGTGATTGCAACAAGTCATTAAATAAAGAGAAACAAGTTAACTCACAACTCTTGTTGGAAACTAAGGAGCTTACCAATGAAATTTCCAAAATTAAAGTAAACGTGGAGGAGAAAGAAAAAGCTAATTTAACTCTGCAAAAGCAAATAGAAGAGCACAAGGAGAAGATGTTTCAACTTGAAGCAGTCAAGAACGAAATAAAGGAGAAATTCGATGATGTTGTGAAACAAAAGGAGATTCAGGAACTAGATATTAATTCCACTTCCGAAAACCTAAGGTTAAATTGCCTTAAAGTCGAGGAGCTCAATGGGACCCTAAATAACACCTTGGAACAACTGGCGAACGCCGAAAGCCAAATAAACGAAAAGGTCGACGAAATCGAGAAAATGTTAAAAACTTTTGAAGCGGAAAAGGCTTTGCTCTTAACTAAGATTGAACAACAAAATGTGGAAAGTAAAAGCAACAGTGACGCTCAGAACGCTGAACTGCAAAAAACAATTGATAACTTGGAGCAAAAGGATAAAGAATTCAAAGAAGTGAAGCTTCAGCTGTCCACCGCGGAAAGCCAAATAAATTCAAAGACAATAGAAATTGAAAACAATTTGAAAGCGTTTGAAGCGGAAAAGGCAGTGCTATTAACTAAAATAGAGCAGTTACGTGTAGAGCATCAAAACAACAGCGACGCACAAAATGCTCAATTGCAGCTAACTTTAAACAACTTGGAGCAAAAGGAGAGTGCATTACAGGTAAATAAACAAAAATTTAAACAAGTACAGTATAGAAACTTTAATTTTTTCTTCAGCAAACCCAGAATATTGTAGATCAACTTAAGCAGGAAAATACTTCCGCGGGTCAGCGTAACGAGGAATTGCAAAGCAAACTCTCGATTGCTGAGCAAAAACTTACGCAAGCAACTCAGCAAATTGATTCCGTGACAAGTTCGTACAAAACCTGTAGTACCGAGTTAAGTGAACTCAGAAAATTGGTGATCAAAACCGTAAAGGAAATATGCAACTCCAAGTTGAGCGGCTCGGAACAACAGCCTTTGGATGCGGTGCCAAACATAATACTCGAAATGGAGACCATTTTGAATAAGTTCAATAACGCATCTGCTATAAGCTATGTCGCTTCAACCGAAGGAATGCAAGACGTTATGTATTTGGGTTACGTATTTATAAAACTATACGACCAATGTGATGTTATCTATAAAACAACCACTGCAATTGAGACAGGTCAGGGTAAGTTGATACCACCAAAGACATAACCACATACAGCAGACTAATTTTGTATTACTTTTTTATTAGAGATCTTCACCAAAACAAATTTGATATGTACAGATGTCTGTCAATTGTTTCAATACTTATTAAATAATGAAACAAAAGAACATGAAAAAGAAAAGATTGTAACTAATATACAAACAAAGCTGAGAGATATTGGAAAGTTAATTGAGAAAATAAAGGCCTCCTTTGAACAAAAGATTGATTTGGATAAGCTTCTCGAAATCGAGCTTCGCGAGATGGATGCTGCCATTGATGATGCAGCCTCCAAAATTACAGACTTACTTGCAAAGGCGCGAGAGAAGGACAACCAAACCAATCTGGAGGTGAACGGAAAAATTGTGGATGCGTGTACCACCTTGATGGAATGTGTGAAAGCTCTAATCCAAAAATCTCGTCTTCTGCAACACGAAATTGTGGCTTCCCAAAAAGGTAGCTATAAATTGTTGTATTCGAAGAATTTTACTGACTAATTTTTACTATTTCAGGAAACGCAAGTGCTAATGAGTTTTATAGGCGGAATAGTCAGTGGTCAGATGGCTTGATATCCGCCTCGAAAAGTGTGGCGAAGGCAGCCAACTATCTGGTGGAAGCCGCCAACAAGGCTATTGAAAGTGAATCTGGTAAAAACTTTGAACTCATCGTGGCTGCCCAGGAAATTGCTGCCTGCACGACCCAAATGGTTATTGCGAGCAAAGTCAAGGCTGAACGCAATAGTCAAAAGTTATCCGACCTCACGAAAGCATCCCGAAGCGTAACGCAGGCAACAGGAACTCTGGTCGCCACCGTCAAGGATTGCAACTCGCAACTGGAGCAGCAAAGTGAAATAGAGCTTGCAAAGCTAACGCCATCACAAATAAAAACGATGGAAATGGAAATCCATGTTAAAGTACTCGAAACCGAACAAGCTCTCCAAATGCAGCGACTAAAACTCTCAGCGTTTCGTAAGGAGCACTACAAGAACGCCGATTATTAAATACTATATTTATTAATGTTACTAACTTTACA